GAACAAACACTACTGTAGATATTAACTACTTATTATTCAGGGTGAACCAGGCCAAGACCTTTCTGTTGTAAATTATTTTATCAGAAGATAGGAGCCAAACTTTAGCTGCTGGATTTCGCAAACTGTCCAAAAAAATGGGGAAAACTCAGAGTTCTTCTTGAATTTTGAGTGAGGTTTTGGTAAATCTGAGGTGGCCCGTCTCCGAGTCGGTATGACTCATTGTAGCTTCTGAGGATTGCAGACTGACAGGTTAGGAAACCACATGCAGCGAATGCCTTCAGGCGGGGAACAAAGTCAACTCATGTCTCCTCGGGGCAAACCACTTACTCCAGCAGACAGCCTGCTACTTCGTCACACACCAACAAAAACCTTACTTTTTCAAATAARATCTCATGTCTGACTGTGCACGGATCGCCCCGTATGTTCACCATCGGTTATATTTCCTCCTGATCCGAGTGGAGAAACAACAGCGGGTCTGATCTTGGTGCAGCCGCGAGTCGTGTTCAGGCTAAGAATAGACACCTGGATTGCGGGGGCATCCGTTTGTAAACAGCTCAGTGCGGGTCAAAGTGAAGTTGGCCAAGAATGTGCTTGAGGAGCAACGCTCCAAGGAGAAGATTCCCAACATTCCTGGGTGGTTAAGGAGACGCACCGGCCTTCACAGATAGGAAGTCGTCTGTCATTAGGGGGTAATCACTTCTTCAGGAGGATTGCAATTCCTGGAATGATTACTGTTGTTATCGGCAGTGAAACTTGGCACACGCAGAACTGTTGATTTCTTGGGAATTTTTTTCCTCTAGACCAGGGATCTGCAACCTTTCCTACTGGAAAATTGTTTTTTGTCCTGAAATTCTATCTGCAGAAGTAGCCGTTCTTGTTATCAGCCTAAATTTAAACATTCTTCAGGTTTGTTTCATTTATGGTTGAAAAATAAGCAGTGTAATTTCTTTTAATGTTAAATACCAATGTTGAAGAAAAAACGGCGGGTTATATATTTTTACTTTATACTCCAAAATCGAGAGAATGGTCAGTCTTATCGTAAGTTGATTGCCGTCATTTTCAGACCCTTTAAGGGAGAGCTGGTTAAAGATCTTTTTAATTACAGGCACCTAGCTGTAGATAAATAAATACTAGCTAACAACTTTTGCATTTCTTTGATTAACTAACTGTAGACTGTATTTTTTATTAACATAGCCAGTGGTGGGCACAGCTAACCAAAAAAGCTGCTAGCTCCACTGATGCTAAACTGCTTAGTGAGAGGGCGCTAATGCTAACCATTAGCCGATTAGCAAGACTGACGCAAACCTGTTGTTAGTTATCTATTGGTTTATTTTGAAAGTGGAAGGGATCATTTCTGGCAAATCGGCCAGTCCAAACCAGACTTGTAGCTCTGTCTAACTTGTGATGCTTCTAGTTTAGCCCTTTCAGAATAAAAGCATTTTTGAACGTTAAATGTTATTTTATTTATCTTTGATGCTCTTAGTTTGAAGTTAGCTGCTAAAGATGCTACATGCTACCACACACAATATTTGATAGCTTTCATTTATTTCGGGATAAATGGCCTAAAAATAGAAGTTTTTACATTTGTGAATTKTTTTAGTGAAATTAGTGGAAGCTAATCAGTCCGCTAACAGTTTCCAAAGTTAGCAAAAAAGTTAATCCGCTAAATGCGAAGCTACGCTATTAGCCGGTTAGAGGAACTGTGCCCTCCACTGAATATAGTAATTTCTTTATTAAAAACGACTTATCTCGCATCACTGTTTTAGTTATTTATTGTGACTGCCTGGTTAGGTAGTTATAAACGTTAGCTGACTAGTTTTACATTTCTTTAATTGACGTCAACTGATGGGTTGTCTATAGATTGAAACCGTTTCCTGGGGCTTCTGTTGCTTTCATGAATCCATTTGTATCTTTGATGGTGAGGAACTTAACCATTTATAGAGTTTTAAAAGGACATACAATAACCGTACATTTTTAGTTTAAAAAAATCACCAAAAAGTACGCAGACACGGTCTAGAACCGTCCGTGGTCGACGGCAYCTTTTTAACCACCGGCGTGTCCCGCAGATGTGAGGGATGTACCGAAGCATCGTTGTTGACTTAAAGCTCGTTGGCGTTGTTTACCTGGGGGGCATTTCTAATGACTCGTGCGTAATGATGCCTGTCGTGTCGGTGGTGCGGTGAGGTGGATGCAAGCCGTCRTGCAGACCCATGTTAAAACAACAGAGCATTTTTTTGAAGCACACGTTATCTGTGATGGTTGTGATGGTTATCTGTGATGGTCTCTCATGCCGCTCATCTGCTGGTTTTTTTTTATTCTGCAGTTGATTCAGGACCTTTCTTTCACCTCCACAAAGTTTTCAGTTTTATGTGGACTGATTCATCGCTCCCCCTRTTACCTCGTCGTCGTCTAACTCCACGACACCACCGCTACCCATGGATCCTCGAGAGCAGGAAGTGTATCTTGTTAAGTGATGGATGAGCTCTTGCCGAGAGGAAAGAAAAAGGAAAAAAGCCTCTTTTTTTTTTTTTTTGCCCCTGCAGGGCAGTTAGACGAGTTTAGCAGTCTCAAACCCGAGGGTCGGTTCTGCTCACTGGAAGCACCTCGGCACCYGAGTGCCTGAAAACTGCAGGCTGTTTGCAGAGAAATTAAAGCTCCCAAACCAGAAAACTGGACGTAGACGTCAAAGATCTGTGCTCAGGGCGACCGTCTGCGTTTCTATGAGTTTTTGTCGGCGAGCAGGGCAGCGACTCACCGTGTGAGCTTGTTTKTTTTTTTTTTAAGGGGGTCAGCAGGTTTGTGCTGGCATGCAGCCGCCAGATACTTCCAGTGGGGGCAGCTCAGGAAGTGTCCCTGGCACGTCCTCTGAATAATGCAACGCTCCACTGCTACTGCTTCAACCTGCTGGGATAAACAGGCCGAAGTCTCCGCCTCACCTCCGGCACACAGTTCTGCACCCGTGATGTCCGTTCACCTGCAACAGTACCCAGAACCAAAAACACTGTGATCTGTGTTTAAAGCCACGGCCTCGCTCTTGACATCTCTGCCTTAAAGTTGCGTGACAAAATAATGTATAATTAGGCCACAGAGCAGTGAAATAAAAAAAATGAACGGATTCTCTTCCACGATTCGCACCAGTGTCCGTCGTGTCTGTGTTGTTCTTACCGAACAGTAGCTGCTGATGTTTGTTTTTAGTAATATTCTGATGTTCGTGCACAGGAAAACTATAAATCACCACAGATGAGGAAAAGCAGAATCATAAATAAATTGTTTTTCCACAGATGTTGCTGGAATAAATTTTTTTTATTGTTTTTCCTCAAAACAAACCATTCAGTACCAAATTACAAACACGAATATTAAAACATACCATTTCAAACCCCCTAATAAAACATCTATAAAACCAAAAACATCCCTGAACAAAGTCCAAAACCTTAAAGCGCCTGTGACGTGCACATCTTTAAAAGACAAAAAGTCAAATAAAACATCTGTGTATTTAGGAAACCTGGCATAATAAACACAATTTCACCCATTTTGTCACCGTTTTTTATTTGGCTCTGCCAAGTGAAACAGGAAGTGACATCAAAGGGAACCACTGATGTCACTTCAATAAGCAGAAACCTGATGGGAGCCAACAGGGGTGACTAAAAACTGATTCTACTATAGACTATAAATTTACAAAACATATATTCTGGTATTATATAATTTAGTAGGTAAACAGATTGTTGTTTTTCCTTTTTTTAAGCCACTTCAGTAGAAAACAGAACTGAATATTAGTTTCTTCATCATCAGTGACTGTTTTTCTTGTTGTTTTGTTTTAGACTTTATGAAATTGTGGCTTAGAATAAGGAAAAAGAAGAATTTATTATTATTTTTTTAAGACGCCTCAGAGAAGGCTGGGATTAAGTAAGTTTTTTACTTCTTCCCATTCCTTTACAAATGTGTTAATTTTGTTATCATTTTTTCTTTTGTTTTGTATGCATGTTTGAAATAAACGAACTAAAACCACTTTAATAAGGGCAACTCTGGTCTTTGTTTATTAAAACGACATTCTGTTGTTAGTTATCGCAGCAATGCTTTGTTTACATTCAGACATTCCCCTTTGACATCACTTCCTGTTACAACACGCATGAATATCTCAACAATCGTTCATCGCAGTGACATGAAATCTTTTCTGCAATAAGTTGGTGATTTGTTTCCAAAATTGCGTTCATATTTATTATTTAAAAAATGATGTCACAGGTACTTTAATCTCGCCTTGTAGCAGCAGGAAGGAAGCAGTTTTATTACGACTGTTCTGCACCCCGAGCCTCTAAACAACCATCCAGATAGACTGAAACCCACGGAACAACCATGGATTTAATGGATGTTTACATTGAATTTAGCCTGCTTGAACCAAAAACCCAATGATCTGCAGCAAGCTGTCAGAAATCACCCACCACTCCTCCCACAGCTAGTCACAGCCTGGCTGAAGACAGGAAGTGGAGACGGGTCATATCTGTCTGTCTGTGCTTGAGAGGCGCCTGTCATCCTATGAAGTCTGACAAGYGAGACAGCGGCGGCTTCAGGGCCTCGGAGGCTGTTTTGGGGTGACGGAGGAGCGATCTGTAGGAAGTGGAGGTTTTATCAGAAAACGTCTGACTGCCACAAGTGGAAAACTTTATTTTTTCTTAAGCCACTTCAGTAGAAAACAGTAATGAATATTAGTTTCTTCATCATCAGTGACTTTTTTAATACTATAATAACGAAGAAAAAGGAGAAATATAATGGAAAAGATTGAAAGMGAGATTAGAATGTATGTGAAATATACACYAAGAAAACACAAGACAACACAGCCGACATTTGTCTGCACACCTGCCAAAATGGAAAAAAAACAAAACACAAGTGGAAAACTTAAATTTCACAAGCGTTCGGTTTGTTTTGAGATCAAGCTTTCGGTTTCTAGATCTTCATCAAGCACTAAAGAGGTCAGCGGTCAAAGTTTGTGTTTTTCTCTCCSGCAGGCTCTGATGCGTCCAGGTCGCCTCGATCGAATCGTCTACGTGCCTCTGCCGGACGCCGCCACCCGACTGGAGATATTTTCCCTCCAGTTCCGTAGCATGCCCGTGGCGGACGACGTGTCCGTCGATGATCTGGTGACCCGGACCAACAAGTACTCTGGAGCAGAGGTAAGATAAATTTACTAGGGCTGCAACAATACATGTACCCTTATCGAACCATTCAATACATACTTGTATCGATCAATACAGATTTTTAAAACTTATTTTATCAACTTGTCTTCTGAAGATGCTCTGTGTTGAAGGATCAGTGGATCTGTGTTCGACTACTCCACCTAGGCTGCATTGTCGARCWCAGATCCACTGATGAACTTGCTGTTTCAGCAACATTTAATTTAAAAACTGAACTTTTGAGGTTAAACAAATGTTCATAATTAATTTAAATAAATTACAAGTTAAAAGGGCATGGACATTTCTCTTTTTTGTCTCGAAAAAATATTGAACCGTGAGACTAAAGTATCGAACTGAACCGAATCVTGAATTTTCTGTATCGTTGCASCCCTAAAATTTACCTGCATTTGTCTGTGTTAGTAAAATATCTTGTGCAATATTCATTTAGCACCTGCCTCCTAAGAGAAAGATGGAGTGATAAAGACCAGTCCGTCTTTAGGCTCCCTCATAAATCACAGATAGATCCGACCATGTCCCGCTCAGACATGAGTTTCCAGACATTAGGCGAGCATTGCGTAACCATCCTCATCAATCTTACCCTGATAATACATCTGTTTGTTGTTCAATCCTGCAATCAGATGGTCACACTAACCAAACRGTTTATCTTTTTCATGTGTTGACTTTTTCGGCTCTGTTGCTACCTCACTCCACGGCACAAAGGTGCATCTTTGTGAGGCTTTGACCCATCTGTGGCGGGCAGAAGTTGTTGTTTTTTTTAGCAAAATATCACAGGAATCACTTAAAGATTTGATTAAAACTGTTGGAAAGAAATCTAAGGATGGGCATCTACAACTGATTTAACTTTTGAATTGAATTTCAAGATGGCCACCGCAGAAAACTGACCTTAGACAACACAAAAACAGCTTGAACTCAGCCAAATTTACAAGTTTTGACCAAAATAATGTTGAATCCATTTTTCACAACATAAAAAAAATCACTCAAGTAAGTTTAAAACATTTACTTTGATTCTTTTTTGGTAAGAGAAAGTGTCTTTTAAGAAAAGACMGACTGATGAACAGGAAAGAGAGAGAGAACTGCGGCGTTTTCCTGTCACCCAGCTCCTCGTGATCTGGCTGTGGACAGAGAAGCATCGTACAAACGCTTCTTTGTGTGAAAGATWTGTTTCTCTGCTTCTGTCTCCCGCGTGATTCACTCTGTCCCCCACAAATAAACTGCTACTGTTTCCCAAATTCTAAGAAACAGGCCACAGTTTGGAACAAAATGATTCATGATTGAGATAAAATAAATTCTTCACATTGAGGAATTTTTATTTTCTGTCTGTGCAGAGCTTCAGAATGTACGTAGACTGTCAGAGTTTTAGTTTTTTTTTAAAGAAAGATAATGTCTGTATCTTTTTGTTGTTGTTTTTTGTGTCCGATTCTTTCTGTTTGACTTCTTTAAGTACAGCTTTGCACAAWAACACATTGTATTGTTTTATTTTTTTTAAATCTGCCATTTTTTTACAATCAGAAGAATTTATAATTTGTGGAGTTCATTACCACCCACACTTTCTTTTGCCGTCATCTTAGTTTTATTAGATTGTTCAGCTCCAGACATTTTTTATCTGGATTTATTCCAGCATCTTGACCAGGTCAGTGTTGCAGGTTCAAGTCCTGGTTGCGTCAAGGAGGGTATCCGGTGGAAAAACAAGCCAAATATTTCATGCAGGTCGACTAAAGTTTGTGACTCCTGAAGAAGGAAGCTAAACACCTACAGTTCCACTGTCTTCACCAGGACTGGTTGGTTGGTTGGTTACCATAACTCTTTAGTTTGGTCATTGGTTTAGTGCTTGTTTAGTTGGTTGGCTGTTTTGTTTCTTTGTTGACACATTGGTCAGTTGACTTGTTGGTTGGCTCAAAGGTTAGTTAACTAGTTGGTTGGGTCATTGGTTAGTTGACTCGTCATTTGTCACATCGATTTAGGGGGTTGGTTAGTTGGCTGGTTGGCTCATTTGTTGGTTGGCTCATTGGTCAGGTGACTTGTTGGTTGGGTCACTGGTTAGTTGACTCGTCATTTGGCTCATTGGTTAGTTAACTAATTGATTGTTTCACTGGTTAGTTGACTAGTCGTTTGGCTCATTGGTTAGTTTAGTTGGTTTGGTCATTGGTTAGTTAACTCATTATTTGGCTCACTGGTTAGCTGACTCGTCGTTTGGCTCATTTGTTAGTTAACTAGTTAGTTGTGTCACTGGTTACTTGACTCGTTTTTTTGTCTCAGTTAGTTGACTCTTCATCTGGCTCATTGGTTGGTTAACTAGTTGTTTGGGTGATTGATTAGTTGACTCGTCATTTGGCTCATTGGTAGGTTAAGTAGTTGGTTTGGTCAATGGTTAGTTAACTCATCATTTGGCTCACTGGTTAGCTGACTCGTCGTTTCGCTCAATTGTTAGTTAATCTTTCTTTATTCTATCTCACCCTGTCCTGTTTTGAGCTGCTGTAATATGCAAATTTCCCCACTGTGGGATCAATAAAGTTTTATCTTATCTTATCTTATCTTATCTTATCTGATCTTATCTTATCTTATCTTATCTTATCTTATCTTATCTTATTTTATCTTAATTAGTTAGTTATGTCACTGGTTAGTTGACTCATCATTTGGCTGGTTAGTTAACTAGATGGTTGGGTTTTTGGTTAGTTGACTTGTCATTTGGCTCATTGGTTAGTTGACTTGTCATTTGGCTCATTTGTTAGCTAACTAGTTAGTTGTGTTACTGGTTACTTGACTCGTTGTTGGGCTCCGTTAGTTGACTCATCATTTGGCTCAATGGTTAGTTAACTAGTTGGTTGGGTCATTGGTTAGTTGACTCATCATTTGGCTCATTGGTAAGTTAACTCTTCACTTGGCTCTTTGGTTAATTAGCTAGTTGATTGGCTCATTGGTAAGTTCACTTGTCATTTGGCTCTTTGGTTAGTTAGCTAGTTGGTTGGCTCATTGGTTAGTTAACGAGTTGGTTGGTTCACTGGTTAGTGGTTGGTTAGTTGCCTGACGTTTTTGTTTGTTAGTCGGTTTATTGGTTAAGTGKTTGGTTAGTTAGATATCTGTCTCATTTCTTAGCTCATTACATATTTAACCTGTTTATAAGGTTGTTTGTTGATTTATTGGCTCGTTGCTTTGTATACGTGTCTTTCAGATAAATTATATTTGTCTAAACTAGTTGTGCAAAATAACTGAGTTAAATGTTAAAACAGATTGGTTGTGAAGCATGTATTTTCGTGCCAGTGGGTTTTGGTTTTAAAACAGTTTAACTGATTAAAACATGTCTTGGTAAGAGGCGGACTGGTGTACGTGGCCCCATGGTCTTGCTCTTGTGGACCTGTGAACACATGAACGAACGCTACAGGGCCAACCTGCTGGACAGTTCAGTTTAAATTATAGATTTAATGTCCCTCAAAGGTTTTATCCAAACTTTGTGAAAATGAGTAACTAAAATTCTCTTCTAACTTGATCAGGACAGCCAAGAGTTATTGGTTACCTTTAAGGCCTTCTCATATCCTGTATATACAAACTCTGTCCCTGTTCCGACTGAGAAACCCCCACCCTGAACGGGGCCTAAAGTAGCCCTACACCTGGGGGAGGTATGCAGCGAGAAACCAATCCCGAGCTATCGGGTGTTGTGTTTGACATCAGGGTTTTCAACTCAAAGGCACACCTCGGTCCCACCGATGAGAATCCACAGGTAACGCTGCGTCTCACCTGTGTGGGTGTTATATTTTACATGCCAGCGCTAAAGATCAAATTAGATTAGATGAAACTTTAAACTCCCCGATCGCCGAGGGGGAAGTTTGAGAGAAAACAGGATACAGATAACAAAACAACTTGGCTCTGGAGATAAAGCCGTGTTTACAGGAATTAGGCCTCAGAGGACAAATAAAACAAACAAGCAAGTAAATAAACAAGCATATCTGTAAACACGTGTGACTGGTTGCACTTTTACTTCAGAAAGTCACCTCATTGTTTGTGCAAAATACTGGAGAAAAAACAGCAAAATACTGGAGAAAACTGCACTCCACTCTCAGACTGCAGGTTTACTTGTGGTTCCTGGAGTTTCTAAAAGTAGAATGGAAGGCAGAGCTTTCAGTTATCAGCTCCTCTCTTGTGGAACCAACTTCCAGTTTCTGTCCRTGAGGCTGACACTCTCTACTTTTAAGATTAGACTGAAGACTTTCCTTTTTGATAAATCCTATAGTTAGACTTAGGTTTCCTGACTTATTCTTCATTTCTGCTCTGTGACATTTGCTCTATTAGGAAAGTATGGAACAATAAGACGTTTAATATTTGATGGAGCTTGGTTGTTAAGAGCTTTGTATGTTGGAAGTAATATTTTAAAATCTCTTCTAAATTTGACCGTGGAGAGAAGCTAAAACTGGAGAAATATGATCTCTCCTTCCAACTCTCATTAGAACTCTAGCAGCAGCATTTTGGATTAACTGAAGACCATATATTAATTATATTTTCTATATATATTAATTATATTAATTTTTTGACTAACATCGGACCAAATATTGCTATCTGATTGGGACAACCCTACTTTTGTCGTCATCATTGCAGCATGTCTTCACAACAGTTTAAGTCTTTGTACCTGTAAAGCTGTACAAGAGTGCATAACATCAGTTAGTAGTTCCAAAATCAATAAGTTCATATGAGAACATCAAAAATTACCAACTAAGAAAATTGTAAAATGATGTTTCAAAAGGTTTCTGGTCGTAACACGAATAAAACCAATGGAAACCTAAAATGTGTGGCAATATTTTAGTTTCTAAGATGTGAGGAGGGCATTCATATAAAGCTAGATATTAGAACATGAGAGTCCTCAGAGTAAGGTTTCGACTTTTATTGCATTCTTGGCATTTCAGACTCGTTTGAAAGAGGGATTTAAGGGGGGTGGGCGGCTGGGAGTGTCACTCAGAAGGACGCGGTTGTTGTCGGCTCGCAGTGAGAAG